GGGCTTGAACTCTGGGCCTGGGCGCTGTCCCTCAGCTCTTCAGCTCAAGGCTAGCGCTCTACCACTTGAGCCACAGTGCCACTTGCAGCTTTTTCTGATTATGTGGTCCTGAGGAATCGAACCCAGGGCCTCATGCATGCAAGGCAAGCGCCCTACGACGGCTGAGCCACCTTCCCAGCCCAGCTCTTCACTTTTAAAGGCTTAGCACCCCCACCTCACCCTCACCACCACCACCCCCCCCCTGGCCCCCAGCTCAGTAAGCAGCCATGGAGGGAATAGAAAAGTCTGCAGATGGCTAAAATAAACTGTGTAAGGGTGTATGGGCAGAAGCAAAGGAGGCTGGGGAGAACGGAGTACCCAGCAAGCCTGGGATGGGAGGCTGCAGGGGAAAGACTGTGGACCTGCCTCCTGGAAATGAGAACATGACTGAGGAAGGAAGGAGAGGCGAGGAGGCACAAGCCCCAGAGAGCTTGGAGCCTGGAGTAGTTAGTCAGCACTGACGCCAGCCCTACATCTGAGCCTCCTTTGCTCCTGCAGGTCCTGGCAGGAGCCCTGGTGGCTGTGCTTGAGGATGGAGATCCTGAGTGGCAATCCAGGCTCGGGTCCTAATTCTGTAGCCCCAAGCTTCCTAACATGCGGCTCCGGTCTTCACTGTCATGGGTGGGTATTTATTCTGTGGAGCTCAGCACCATGGTTGAGGTGATGCTTAAGGCGACTCGATTAATTCAGGCGAATGGGATTGGAAAGATAGCTGGTATTTCAAAAACCAAAGTTGGGCTCTGGCTCTACGGAAAGCATTGGCCTAACATGTAAGATGAGTTCCATCCCCAGCACAGCAATAAACAAAAACAAACAAAGGAGGTTACTGTTAGTTGGGACCAAGTACAGGAGCTCCTACCAGACTAAGAACCTGGTCTCTGGTTCCCAGGCCACCTCAGGGCCACTAGAGGGTGCTCACTGCTTCTCTACTCTTGGGAGGGAGCTTGGGCCTTGGGTGGGGTAAAAGCACCCCCCCAGTTGGGGGGTGGGGGTGGGGGAGAGTGCCTTCTCAAGCTCAGGTCTTTTTTTGTTTGTTTTTTGCCAGTCCTGGGGCTTGAACTCAGGGCCTGGACACTGTCCCTGAGTTTCTCTTGCTTGAGCTCAGGTCTTTGAATCTCCACAGAGGCCCTGCTTTAGCCCCAGGGACAGATCATTCCATTGCACCCCAGAGCAATGTGGAACCCAGGCTGCAGTGCCCAAATGCCATTCTCTGCCCACAACTTCCTCAGACACCATCTCAGGTAGGGCTGGACTCCAAGGAAGGGACACTTCTCGAAGTTGCTGAGCTACACTGGAAAGGAAAGGAATCTGATCAAACAAACACATGGCCTGCCGGCTTGAAGCCAACGAAAATGTAAGAGAAAAGCACTCAGCCCTGGGATGCCGGCCTCTCCTTGTAAATAAGCATGTGAATGTGTTTTGTTCTGGGAGTGCTCAGGCAGCACAAAGGGAGTCTTTCTCATGCAATAGAGGGTCTCTTTGCAGCCCCCTTCCCCCTCCCTTCCAGCCATCCCCACCACTGGCTAAAATGGCTTTCCTTCCTCAACACAAATGTGTGTGTGTGCGTGTGTGTGTGTGTCAGGGAGGGATCTTTTTTTTAGGCAGCCCTAAACACTATGGAGTTGAGATGCAATCAGGCTTCTGTTTCTTCAGCAGGGTTTGCTTTATTGAGCAAGAGAGAATGGGGAAGAGGGTGTTAGGAAAGATGAAGTGGACAAAGAGGAAGAAAGAAGAAGAGCCCTCAGGAGACCAGATCAGATTTTATTCATCACTGAAGAGGGCACCAAGTACCACAGAGCAGAATTGGAGGTTCAAGAAGCCCGGAACACAAGGGACTCAGGGTTTCAGTCTATAGTCAAACAAGGAGAACAGCTGTGGCAGTTGACAAAAGGCCACCCAGGGCAATGATGCCATGACAGGTGAAGCTGCTCGAAGGCAGGGGTAACTTCCAAGAATGGCCCTGGGGATGATCAAGTGGACCATGAAGGCAGCACTGGGTTAGAGAACAAAGCAGAGTCCCACGCGTGAGGATGTACAGAGCAGGCTGCAAGCAGATGCATGGAAGTGAACCATACACTTTAAGCTGCACACATTTCATCCGGGTCTGCATGCTCTGTATGTTCTGCAAGGAAGCAGGACAAATGTCCAGGAAGCTCCCCACTTCCTCCTCCTCACAATGGAAGCCAGGTCTCCTACAGGCCTTTATCAGTGCCGTGTGTCCAGTGTGGAGGCAGGGAGGGCGGTGGGGAGGGGGCGGGTACCAGTCCCGTGCATCTGTAGCTCTCCCCAGGAGACAGACTGGAGGAATGAAAGGCCTTTCTCTCCAGTCTGGAAATGGGTAAATGATGTGTAATTTATGAACACATCAACCTAAAGTGCATAAGTCATATGTGCACAAAGAGGCCGGGTAAATATTTAAAGGTTAGAGACAGCTTGTGGGGGAGGGTGACACAAAAGGCTGGGACAATGCTGGTCTCTCTGAATTCACTCTCCTTGAGCCGGGCCATCCTGGTCAGTGTTGATACACTCACTGGAGTCCCCGTCTTTGTCTCCTGAAGAGCCCTTGGCTGCCAGGCTATTTGGAGTTCCAATGCAGTGAAAGAGAGTTAAACAATTGCAGCCTCTCCAACCCCATCTGGAGACAATTGGCTGAGTGATTTCAGGGCCTTTGCTGTGTCCCAATAGGTAATTACATGGAGCAATCACTTCATTCCACTTTGAAATACATCTGTGGAGGGGAACGACACAGTTCTCTCACCGGTTATTGGTACTCATTATTAGTCCATGAGGGGCTCGGCAGTTAGAAGTTTTGTTTTATTTATTTTATTTTTTGCTAGTCCAGGGTTTGAACGCAAGGCCTGCTTCTTCTTCTTCCTCCTCCTCTTCTTCTTTCTTTCTTTCTTTTTGTTTTTTGTCCGTTCTGGGGCTTGAACTCTGGGCTTGGGCGCTGTCCCTGGGCTCTTCAGCTCAAGGCCAGCGCTCTACCACGAGAGTCACTGCGCCGCTTCCGGTTTTCTGCTAGTTAATTGGAGATAAAGAGTCTCAGGAACTTTCCTGCCCAGGGTGGCGTTGAACCATGATCCTCAGATCTCAGCCTCCTGAGTAGCTAGGATTACAGGCATGAGCCACCAGCGCCTGACTCCCCAAGCTTCTTTTGCTCAAGGGTAGCACTCTTACTACTAGAGCTACAGCACCATTTATTTCCAGCTTTTTCTGTGTATATAGTACTGAGGAATGGATCCCAGGGCTTCGTGCATGCTGGCAAGCACTCTACCACTAAGCCACATTCCAAGCTGGAAACACTTTTGACTTAGAGTAAAAAAACAAGTGGTGCTATGGCTCAAATGGTAGAGTGCTAGCCTTGAGCAAAAGAAGCTTAGGGACAATGCCTATGCCTGAGTTCAAGCCCTAGGACTGGAGAGAGAGAGAGAGAGAGAGAGAGAGAAACTCAAGAACCTTGCTGTGGAGGCTGCCTCAGACTGCAGTCCTCAGATTTCAGGCTCCTGAATAGCAAGGATTGCTGCATGAGCCACCAGTACCCCGACCCACCAGGGTGTCACTTGGGATGGAAGGTGGGATCTCTGGTAGGCTTTGCAGACCTGACTCAATGTTTTGAGAGTGGATGCTAAGGTACTTGCTACATTTTTCCTTAAATGTCCTCCTGTGACAAAAGAAGGGGTCTCTCACAGAGAACTCTCCAGAAGTAGATACAGAAGGAACTTTTTCCTTACATGGGCAAAGGGGGCCCAGGAAACATTGGGAAACCAATGTTCCTCATGGACCTGTGCTCCTTTCCAGGTGCCTTGGGGACCCCAGGTGCTAAAGATGGAATCAGAGTTAGTGGCCCAGTTTCTAAGTTGGTCCAGGACCTCCCCAGCAGCTCTAGAGCATTCTGTCCTGCTTGCCCTCCTGCTAGAGGACAGGGTAAATGTCTGCCTCACTCCTCCATTCTGAACATGCTTCTCTGGCAGCTCCTCTTTGGAGTGGGGTCTGCCCAGGGGTGCAGGTTTGAACCCAGAAGTGGGACTTGCAAGTGTTATTGAGAGGAGAGCCCTAAGTCCTCAGGGTGGGTCTCTGGAAGAGGGCTCTGGGGACATGCCTGGTATCTTTTCTGTGATCTCACTCTAGGTAAAAGACCTGACTTTAACTTCTGCAGGAAGTTGGCTGACCACAGGGAGAAGACCGAATGAATGGGGGCCAGAGGGAAACAGAGAAAGCAAGCAGTCTTAGAACTCTAGTAAGGGCTGGAAAGGTGGGTAAGTGGTAGAATGCTTGCCTTGCATGCATGAGGCCCTGGGTTTGATTCCTCAGTACCACATAAGCAGAAAAAAACAGAAGTGGCGCTGTGGCTCAAGTGGTAGAGCACTAGCCTTGAGCTGAAGAGCTGAGGGACAGAGCCCAGGCCCAGAGTTCAGGCCCCCCAGCCGACAAAATTTACATGGAGGAGTGTGACACTGGGCTCATCCTAGCTACTCAGGAGGCTGAGATCTGAGAGTCCTGGCTGGAAGGCAGCCAGACCAGGAAAGTCCCTAAAACAACACCGAAAAACTGGAGCTGTGGCTCAAGTTGGTAAGAGTGCCAGCCTTGAGCGAAAGAAGCTCAGGGACAGTGCCCAGGCCCTGAGTTCAAGCCCCAGGATTGACAACAACACCACCAACACTGCAAGACTGTATCGGTGATGAGGGGTTGGTTCTCCAGTAAGGGCCGGCCATCAGCACGGGTGGAAAGGCCCCAGGCAGCCGGCCAGGCGGAGTGGAGGCGCGCCTCGTGAAAATCCCGCCCGGGTCTCCCGCAGCCGAAGCTGGACATCGCGGATTAGCGCATTGTGCGGTCAATCTTCCACCGCCTAAGAAGCACGAAACCCCCGGGGCGCGGGGCTCCCGGGCACACGGCCTGGGAGGCGCCGGTGCAGGCCGCGGGGCCCCCGGAGGTGACCTCAACTCCCCGAGCGGCCGCCAGACCCGCGTGCGGGGTCTTTGCCTTGCTAATGTGCCCGGCTGGACGGCGGCTGGCGGGGCTGCCGGGTGGGGGGCGCGGGGTTGCGGGGCGGGGCCGCCGGAGCGGCGCGCGCCGGGCCGGGACAGATGTGCCGCCGCTGGAGGCCCGCGCGCGGCGGGGGGCCGGAGCTGGCCCGAGGGGGCGGGGCGCGGCCCGCACAATGCTCGTCACCCTCGGCTGCCCCCTTTTGTGCCCGGCCGCCGAGCCCGGCCTCCCCGCGGCGCCTTTGTACCGCGCCGCCCCCGCCCGGGGCCCGGGGCCGGTCACGCGAAGACGGCCTCCGTCCGCCGGGCCCTGGCGCTTCAAAGCTGCCCGGCGCGTGCCAGCGCCCGCCCTCGCCCTCGGGCCTCCGCGCCGTCTCACGGCCCGGGAGGGAGACGCCCCAAAACTGCCTGGAACGGGGAGGGCGGGCGCGACCCACCAGTATCCCATCGGCCAGCGGGGGGGGGGAGCCCTGGCTGGAGGGGGGGACTAGTGATCCAGTAATGTCCCCTCCTCCCGCCCTGAGGCCCGCAGAAGCCAGGCCTGGTCTCGGCCGGCTCAATTGTGCAACTTCCGTTCATAACCCCCCAAACTAGAGCCGCCAGAGCCCGCGGAAGAGCGAGGTCCAGGTCCGGAGTCCCCCGAGGGCCGGGCGCCCCATGCAGCCCAGCAACGGGCTTCATATTCCTGAGTAGCAAAAAGGGGGCCCGGGGCCGGGCCTCTAGGTGCAGGCCGACTTCTCCCCAGATGCCGGGCGGAGCTCCAGTGACCTCCCGGCAGGGGAGTGGGCCTCCATTTACCGGCCAGCCCGGAAGCCGAGGCCCGAGGTCCGGTGGTCCAGGCCTCCCCGCCCGCCTCTGGGCGCTGAGCGGCCCCAGCAGAGCGGGGAGGGAAGAGGCCCGCTGTGCCACGCGGGCGGGCTGCACGCTTTAATGGGACACGTGTCGCCGCGCGGCCCCGTGGGCCCTGCCTGTGCCGGGCTTTGAGCAGCCACAGGCAGAAAATCGCTACATTGTCCCAACATTAGGGCGACTAATTCGGCATTGCCATGCGGCTGGAGCGTGAAGCGAGCAGAAAGGCGTCAGTGGCCAGTGCGCCTTGCCTCCGTGTCTTCATCAGGCCCCAGGAGGCCATTAGCTCTGTCCCAGTCATCAAGGTGGTCTGGAGCCCAGGGGCCTCCCAACCCCAGAATACTGGGGGACCCGGGGTAGCCAGAGCTTGCGTAGTCTACCTAGTGGTGAAGCCCAGAACTTAGAACACCTGGGACCCACAGGGCACGGCGGGGACAAGCCTAGGAGGGGCCCCCAGACTTGGGAAGTGGTAGGAGAGATGAGAAAAGAAGAGAAAGAGGAAAGAGTCACCCAGGGAAAGAGCGGGGGGGGGGGGTCCTGAAGGCCAAAAAGAGCCTGGGCTATAGGAAGGGGAACTTTCCCCTTGCTTCCCCTTTTGTCCCCTCCCCCTCCAGTGTTTCCCGAGTTCCAAGGGCCTCATTGACATGTAAACGAAGGGCCCCTATTAAAGCCGGCTGCCTCCTGCCCCCAGAGACATTGCAACATGGGCACCGAGCCCTCTACCCAGGGCAGCTCCGAAGGCTCAGCCAGAAGTTTTCGGAAGGTATGGGTCCTCAGGGGTTGGGGTGGGGCTCTTGCAGGCCCGTGGGGGTAGAGGTTAGGAAAAGCATAGGCAGGCCCAAGGCCCTCTCAAGGCGATTGGTCCACAGATCTCCAAGCCACTGATGGAGAAGAAGCGCCGAGCCCGCATCAACGTGTCGCTGGGGCAGCTGAAGTCGCTGTTGGAGAAGCACTACCCGCACCAGGTAAGGCCGGACTCTCCCTTCCCCCCTCGCTTCCTCCACTCCAGCCTGACCAGCTGAGTCTTTGTATGCAATGACAGATCCGGAAACGCAAACTGGAAAAGGCAGACATTCTGGAGTTGAGCGTCAAGTACATGAAAAGCCTTCAGAACTCGGTGCAAGGTAGAGGATTAGGAGGGATTGGAGGGGAAAGATGGAAGGGGAGCTGGTGTGAGCAGAGCCATGATACGACAAAGCCAGATAAAGCAGATGGGGCCAGGCCTGCTGGTCCTTACCTGCAATCCCAGCACTTGAGAGACTAACAGGAAGATTAAATGTGCGAGGCCAGCCTGGCTTAAACATTTTTCTTTTTTTTGGGTCTGGTCGTGGGGGGGGGCGCCTGAACTCTGGACCTGGGCGCTGTCCTTCAGCTCTTCAGCTCAAGGCTAGCGCTCTACCACTTGAGCCACAGCGCCACTTCCAGCTTTTTTCGCTTATGTGGTGCTGAGGAATCGAACTCAGGGCCTCATGCATGCAAGGCGAGTGCTCTACCACTGAGCCACCTTCCCAGCCCCTGGCTCAAACATTTTTAAGCTCGACACTGGTGGCTTGTGCCTATAATCCTAGTGACTCAGGAAACTGAGATGGAAGGATTGCTGTTCGAAGCCAACCCAGGCAAGAAAATCCATGAAACTTTTTTTTTTTTTTGGTCAGTCAGGGGCTTGAATCCCAGGCCTGGGTTCCTCAGCTCTTCAGCTCAAGGTGAGCACTCTAACACTTGAGCCACAGAACCACTTCCAGGTTTTCTGGTGGTTCATTGGGGATAAGAGTCTCATGGACTTTCCTGGCCGGGCTGCTTTGAACCATGATCCTCAGATCTCAGCCTTTCTGAGTAGCTAGCTAGGATGACAGTTGAGCTACCGGTCCCCGGCTCCATGAGACTCTTACCTCCACTTAACTACCAGAAAATCAGAAGTGAAGCTGTGGTTGAAAGTGGTAGAAGCACTGAGTTCAAGCCCATGATGGAAAAAAAAAAAAAAGAAAGGCAGTGCTGAGATTTGACTCAGGCCCGCACAGTTGCTAAGCAGGTCCTCTATCACTGAACTACACCACTGGTCCTTCTTGTTTTGGACTGACTATTTTGAGATACAGGGCCACACCTGGGCCCGACCCTTCCAGTCACGCTTCCCAAATAGCAGGCATGAGAGGTGCGGCCACTGGCCCAGCAATTGCTTCAGAGTCTGGCAAACCTCTCCCCTGGCTGGCCTCTGAATCCCAGCCTCCCCGAGCCATTAGGACTGATTACAGGCATGTGCCACCGCACCCAGCTTTTCACGAGTTTCTTTTTAGAGGAGGGATGGCTGGAGAGGGTGTCCAGCGGGGTGAGGAGGGGCCTGGGGTTGGAATTCCGGTGGGCAGAGGTCTGCATGCTGAGGGCGGGGAGGAAGGGGCCGTCGAATGGCTTCGCTCGTCTTCACACTTCTCCTACCCTTCATCTCTCTCCTCCACGTCTGTCCTGTCTGCTTCCCTCCCTCCAGGGCTCTGGCCGCTGCCCAGCGGAGCCGAGTACCCGTCGGGGTTCCGCGGCTGCCTGCCCGGCGGG